CTGCATCCTGAGTGCTGGGATTAAAGGCATGTGCCGCCACCACCCAGTTGTCCCTAAGCTCTTACTGTGGGGCACAGACTGAGGAAGAGCTAGGGCATGATGCTTACATTAGTATACAACTAACAGTAAGTGATGGATCTACAGCAGAAGATTTGTTCCCTAGACACATGCCAAGTCTGAAAGGTGAGAGCATTAAGGCACAAATGAGAAGGAAGCAAGAGGCGGGAAGTTGGGAAAGGAAATGAGACCTAGGCATTGGAAAGCTGATGGAAGAACTATTGGAATTCAAAACGCAGTTAGGCAGGCAGGGCAAGGCAGCGTTACATATGATTGTCATGTGAAGTCGAGCTTATCTGTTCTAGTGCTTTCCTACATGGACTGTGGACCAGTAAGGTACGCATCACCGAGAGACTCTGAAGAGTCAGAACCTCAGATCCCTCTTAGAATCGACTGAATCAGAATTTTGCTTGTTAACAAACAAGCAAAGGCTGAATTTAGAAATCTAACCTAGTGGCATATAATACATATATAGAGAAAAAGAGTCTGGAGGTAAAGAGATAATCTAGGAGCTAAGGCCCTAGATTCAATCTCCATTACAAATCAATAAATAAGATTGACAAGCATAGGACTGGAGTGAACCTGCTGCTCTTGCAAAGGACCCAGGTTCAGCTCCCAGCAACTGCATGGTGGCTCACAGCCCTCTCTAACTCCAGTTCCAGGGAATTGGTGCCCTCTTTTGGCCTCCCTGGCACCAGGGACACACGTGGTGCACAGACTTATGTGCAGGCAAATGCATACATTAAACAGATCGATAACCACAAGCATTTGCAGGTCAACAACTGAAATGCATACATCCTATCGAGAACAAAACAGGAAAAGATCTTTGAATAGTTCCATGCATATTTCTTTTTTTGTTTGTTTTGTTTTGTTTTTAGTTTTTTTGAGACAGGGTTTCTCTGTGTAGCTTTGGAGCCTGTCCTGGATCTCACTCTGTAGCCCAGGCTGGCCTCGAACTCACAGAGATCCGCCTGCCTCTGCCTCCCGAGTGCTGGGATTAAAGGTGCGTGCCACCACTGCCCGGCCCATGTTTATTTCTATCCTAAGAGCTTTGATTCTTTGTTTTAAAAAACAAAAGAAGTTTTAATTTCATTTAATATGTATGAGTGTTTTGCCTGCATGCATGCGTGCGTGCGTGCGTGCGTGCGTGCGTGTGTGTGGGGGGGGTACCACTTGCATGCCTGTTGTCTGTGGAGGTCAGAGGAGGTGGTGGTTCTCCTGGAACTGAAATTACAGATGGTTATGAGCTGCCATGTGTGCACTAGAAACCAAACCCAGGTCCTCTGCAAGAGCAGCAAGTGCTCTTAACCACTGAGACAACTCTCCAGGCCTGGCTTTCACTCTTAAGTATTCATCTAAGAGAACTGAACATTTATGTCTACAAAAGAGATTTGCAAGAATGCTTGTAACAAGTTCATTCATAATGGCTGAAAGTGAAAATAATCTAAATGATCATTAAAAGAATAAAGAGTTTGTAGCACATTCACATAAGTGAATAACTCAGTAGATAAAAAGGAAAATAAAGTCCTGCACACAGAGAAATTTGCATGACACTCATGGGTATTGAGCCAAAGACTAGACACAAAAGATTATTATAAACATACATACACGTATATTATGATACTAAAATAAGGTCTCACGTAGCACAGGTTGACCTCAAACTCACTATGTATTTGAGGACAAACTAAGGATTAAGCTTCTGAACTTCTTGCCTCCACCTCTCAGGTGCTGGAACTACATGCGTGAACCACCGTACCTGGTATTATGCAGTGCTGGGGACCAAACTCAGGGTTTCAATCATGCTAGGCAAACATTCTACCACTGAAACTACACCCCCAGCTACAAATGGAATACATATTGATTATTCCATCTACATAAATATTTAAAACAACAAAAATCGATTTTGTTTGTTTCTGAGACAGGGTTTCTCTGTGTAGCTTTGGAGCCTGTCCTGGAACTCATTCTGTAGACCAGGTTGGCCTTGAACTCACAGAGATCCATCACCCTCTGCCTCCCAAATGCTGGGATTAAAGATGTGTGCCACCACTGCCTGGCTCAAACACTGATTTTTTATCCTTACCACCTCAACCCTCTCCAAACCTTCTTGTCCTTGTCTCTGGGAGCCAGCTCTTCCCATCTTGCCAGTTCCATCGTAGGACACTCACGTCTGGGATGAATGCTCTTTAGATACACTGGAGGATGGCCCAGACTCTGCCTTGCCACTTCCGTTCTTTGTTCTCCTGGCCAAACTCCACTCTTCAAATCTTAGATTAAAAATCCTCTGTAAAAGTCTCCTAACACTACGGCTCAGCTTGTTCTGGACTCACAGCATTCTGTACCTTTAATCCTGTGATTTAACACAATTGTAATCCATCAATTGTTTGTGATAGAGTTGGCCTCAGCTACTAAATCATAAGCTCCAGAAAATGGGGCATAAATCTGTCTTATTTCAGATCCACTGTAGGTACTCAAGCAGTATTTGTTAAAATGAATGAAAGAAAGTGAAAGAGATAAAAATGATGAGCCTGGAGCAATTAATTCTCTCTCTGTGTGTTTGTGTGTGTGTGTGTGTGTGTGTGTGTGTGTGTGTGTGTGTGTGTGTGTGTGTGTGTCTGTGTGTCTGTGTGTCTGTGTGTCTCTCTGTGTGTAGCTCAGGCTAGCCTGGAGCTCCTTAGGAAACCTAGAATGGCCTCAAACTCTGATTCTTCTACAGTCTTGAGTGTTGGAATTACAAATGTGTTCTACCTCACCAGGGCCAGTTTATGAGTCATAACCATGATGTGTGTGTATTTGTGTGTGTGTGTGTGTGTGTGTGTGTGTGTGTGTGTGTGTGTGTGTGTGTAAATGGATACATTATTGCAATGGTGCAAAGATGAAGTAGTCTCTCTGCTCTTCATATGAAATACTAAGGGCTCCTTTACTTTGGCTGGTAGAATTTTCTCAAGGTTACTGATGAAGGAAGAAATTTCCCCCTTTTTTCTGGCTCATCTTTTTTTTCCCATTATATCATGGTATGATTTGGATGTTGAATATCTCCTCCAAAGGCCTGTATGTCAAAGGATTGGTCCTTGAGGCAACACTATTGGGAAAATTACTTTGTGGGAGGATTATTGAAAGTGTCTCATCAAAAGAAATTACAGGGCTGAAGAAATGGCTCAGCTGTTAAGAGCCCTTGCTGTTGTTGTAGAGGACCCTAGTTCTGTTCCCAGCACCACACTAGACAACTCACTAATGTCCAAAACTCCATTTCCAAGGGGGTCCAGTGCCCTCTTTGGGACTCCATGGCATCTGTATGCATGTGTTGCACATACCCACACACAGTTATACACACAGTATAAATCAAACTAACCTTTTAAGAAAGAAATTGAGCCAGTTGTGATGGTGCACACCATTAATCCCAGCACTTGGGAGGCAGAGGCAGGTGGATCTCTGTGAGTCCAAGGCCATCTTGGTCTATATAGTGAGTTCCAGGACACACAAGGCTATATAGTGAGACTGTGTCTCAAAAAACCAATAGATAGGTAGGTAGGTAGGTGGATGGATGGGTGGTTGGGTGGTTGGGTGGTTGGGTGGTTGGGTGGATGGATGGATGGATGAATGATGGATGAATAGATGATAGATAGATAGATAGATAGATAGATAGATAGATAGATAGATAGACAGAAAATTTCAAAAGAAATTAAAGTGTTTTTGACTCACTCTCAGCTGGTTTGAGACATGAGCATTCTTGGGAGCAAACTTGTGTTCCCATCGTGGTATGTACCAGTGCCACTTTCCCCAGAAGCCAAATGGATGCCTCTCCCACTTGATCTTGGATGTAGAGCCATCCCAACTGATGTACTGAAAGCTTTCTCCTTGTTAGTCAGTCTCTCTCAGGTGCTTCATTGCACAAACAAAGCTCACTAATATATGCCACTCTAGGTTGCTGAATTAATGCTCCAAATGGCATCAGTTTCATATCCTTCTTTTTTGTATCAAGATCCTAGGACTGAACACAATAAGGAAAGGAGGAGTGTTTGGAGCAAGAAACAGTATACGTGGAAGAAAATATGGTGATGCCCATGCTGGGGAGGCAGACACAGGAGGAGCCCAGGAGCTCTCTAGTCTTGCCAGGTCCATAAACTCCAGTTTTAGTGAAAAATTCTGTCTCAAAAATTGAGGTGGAGGAGCTGGTGGGATGGTTCAGTGGTTAAGAGCACTTGCTGCTCTTTCAGAGTTTGGTTCCTAGCAACCACAAAAATGGCTTACAACTGCCTCTAACTCCAGTTCCAGGGCATCCAGCCCCCTCTTCTGGCCTCTGGGGGCACCAGGCACACATGTGGTACACATATACATAGGAAAACATATATGTAAAAAATAAAAATAAATTTTTTAAAAATTAAGTGGAAAGCCATAGCAAAAGACATTCAGCCCTGACCTTAGGCTTCCACAGAGAGGCTTGCACAGTGTGTATGCATGGGATAGCACACATATATGGATACACACATATGCAACATATATATACATATTTCCTAAATTATCTAGTGATTAATAATAATAATAATAATAATAATAATTTCCCACTAGGTGATGGTGATGCACACCTTTAATCACACTATTCAAGAGGCAGAGGCCGGGCGGTGGTGGCACACGCCTTTAATCCCAGCACTCGGGAGGCAGAGCCAGGCGGATCTCTGTGAGTTCGAGGCCAGCCTGGGCTACAGAGAGAGATCCAGGAAAGGCGCAAAGCTACACAGAGAAACCCTGTCTCGAAAAACAAAAAAAAAAAAAAAAAGAGGCAGAGGCAGGCAGATCTCTGAGTTCCAGAACAGCAGGGGCTACATAGAGAAACCTAGTCTCAAAACAAAACAAACAAACAAACAAAAATCCCAAAACACAAAACTGTTTTCACTCATAATTTCCTCTCAAAAACACACTTTATTTTTCAACGTTTCAAACCCAGAGAAACACTGAACTGCCACATTTCTAGGCTACATAGTTTTCAGCTACCAGGGTCTTGGCCTCTTTCTTGCTGTGTCTCCGCAGACATTTATTTCTTCTTTTGGCCAAACCATCTAAAAGGAGGCAATACACACCATGACGTTTCCCCTCCAGATATCTCAGTCTACCTCCTAAGCAAGAAGAATATTCTCCTACATACCCACATTATTATTAATTTGGAGGAAGATCATCACATTAATCCAATACAACCACCAACATACTTTCTGTGCTCAAATTTCCCCAGTTGTCAAAAGAATGTTTAAACATAGAAACAAAGGATTTCACCACCCGTTACATGTTTTCCGTCTTCAGTTTGAACATCTTGTTACCTCCCTCTGTCCTTCACAATATGGTGTCCTTGAATAGCCCGGGCCAGTTATCTTCCAGAATGTCCCACATTTTGGATTTGTGTGACTCTGTCTCTGATGAAACCAGGTCAAACATTGCTAAGCAAAACACTACAGTGGTGACTGTGTATACCTCCCCCTGTGTCGAATCAAGAGGCACATTGTGTGGTGACATCTTGATACCGTGACACTTGCCAAATATTTCCATTGCAAAAGTACATCTCCCCCTTGGAGCTAGCAAACAATTTGGGGAGTGATAATTTGATATTCTGTTTCCAAAGAACTTGCCACTGGTCTGAATCATACTGGTGATAATAAAATGAAGATTTGAAGAATTTCTCAGACTTTTTATATTTTCTTTCCAAAGGATTTATTTTATTCATGAGTGTGCACGTGTGTGTGTGTGTGTGTGTGTGTGTGTGTGTGTGTGTGTGTGTGTGTGTGTGTGTGTGTAAGTGCCCAGGGAGGTCAGAAAGAGGCTGGAGCTGGAGTTACAGGTGTTTCCAAGCTACCCAGTGTGGGTGCTGGGATCTGAACTCTGGTCCTCTGGTAGAGCAGTAAGTGCTCCTAACTTCTTAGGCATCTTTCCAGCCCCACTACCTGACTTTTTAAAGACATAAGCCTCAGGCTTATCTCAAATTCCTGGGCTCAGGTGACCTTCCAGTCTCTGCCCACTGAGTACTAGCACAACTGTGCCATCATGCCCAGCTCCCAACTTGTTTTGATGTTACTCATTTTGATATTCAGATTACCCAGTGAAGGTCCTTAAGGTTTTCTTTCCTTTTTTGGGGGCAGGGGAGATGTTCAAGACAGGGTAGCTCTGTGTAGCTCTGGCTCCCCTGGAACTCACTCTGTAGCCCAGGCTGGCCTCGAACTCACAAAGATCCGCCTGCCTCTGCCTCCCAAGTGCTGGGATTAAAGCTGTGCACCACTATGCCCAGCAAAGGTCCTTAAAGTTTTACTTTGTACATTTAGGGCTCTAATCTTCTGGAATTTAGGAAAACTTAGCAGAAGCAGGGGTCTGGTCGTGTCGCTTCATTATTCAAACAGTCTACAGTTTCTTATTCCCATTTTAAATACTTCCTAAGATGTCACACTTCCACATAAGCATGCCTGTTTCTAAGCTTTCTGTTCTGTTCTGGGTTTGTGTAAACCTGTGGTCATAGTCTAATGTCTTATTACATATTTGATAAATCACCTCCATATAGACAATTTACACCTTCTTATTTTCCAAAAGCATCTCAGCCTCCACCCATCGCAAGGAGAAGAAAAAGAGTAACAGTGAATTCACAATTAATTAATGTATGTAGTTTGATATTTTATTGGTTCAAAACATTAACTCGTTAGTATTACAAGGGAAACCTGGAAAAGTTTAAAGCCATTCTGGGACATTTAACATAGGAAAACATGAGCAAAGAATAATAAAGAGATTTAAATAAAATGTACTTGAATGTGCACATATGTAGACATGTACATAGTTACAGTTCCCTTTTTGTTCTTATTATTTATTTAAGCTTTCTTGTTTTTTCCCTTAGGTATATTTGCTTGTAGTTTGTCTTTGTTAGAACTACTTAATTAATTTTATGTGTATGGACGCTTTGCCTGCATGTATGTCTATGTACCACGTGCATGCCTGGTGCCTGAAGAGGCTAGAAGACAGATCAGATTCCCTAGAACTGGAGTTACAGACAGTTATTAGCCTCTCTGTGGGTGCTGGAAATTGCCCTGGGTCCTCTAGTAGCCAGTGTTCTTAATCAGTGAGCCATCTCTCCAGGTGCTGTAGTTATGTTTTTTTGTTTGTTTGTTTTTTTGTTTTTTGTTTTTTGGTTTTTGGTTTTTGGTTTTTCCAGACACGGTTTCTCTGTGTAGCTTTGCGCCTTTCCTGGAACTCGCTTTGGAGACCAGGCTGGCCTCGAACTCACAGAGATCCACCTGGCTCTGCCTCCTGAGTGCTGGGATTAAAAGCATGTGCCACCACCGCCCGGCTGTAGTTCTTCTTTTATTTAGTTTTTGTCCACAGAATTAAATTTTGGTTGTGATGGTAATTTTGAATTTAGCAGGATGTAGCATCACCTAGGAGAGAGCCTCTGCTGTGCCAGGAGGAGACTGTCTAGATTATGTTAATTTACTGAAGATTCTCCCTAGAGGTGGGTGTACCATTCCCTGGGCTTGGGTCCTGGACTGCATTAAAAAAGAGAGAGACAGAGACAGAGAGACAGAGAGAGACAGAGAGAGAGACAGACAGAGACAGAGAGAGACAGAGACAGAGACAGAGACAGACAGAGAGAGACAGAGAGAGAATGCAAGCTGAGTGAGAGCATTCACTGTTTGTTTTGTCCTGAGTATGGATACAATGTGACCAGCTACTTCAAACTCTTACCTTGACTTCTCTAACATGATAGACTATACCCGCAGACTGTAAGCCAAAATAAAGCCAGCCTTGAGTTGCTTTTGTCAGGGTATTTTATCATGGCAACAGAAAAGGTAACTAATACACAAGATAATGTTTGAACCTGTTTTTTCATATTTTAAAATATGGAAAATTATTTTTGCAGACTTGAAAATTTAATGCATCATTCATTTGTTTTAAACAATATTTTTTTGCTGTTGTTTCTGGTAAACGTTTCTAGGGTTTCATTTTATTTTTATGTAATCCTGGAGCCCCAGCTCATACTTCTCGGTAAGCATACCACTGAGCCATAGCCCTTAGGGGGTTGATTTTCATAATTATTTCGTTCATCCTTGATTAATTCTAGATAGTTTGTCCCTTCCATTGTGACTTCTATTTTATCTAGTTTTTAAACATTCTTAAAATGGAGAGGTTTTTTCTTTTTTAAATCATTCTGTTAAATGCATTCAAGTTAATTCAATTCATTGTGATTAGGATAAAGAGACAAATGAAATAAAGAGAATTTAGCATTTCTTGACACTGTCATATTTTTGTAAACGTTCTAGATATTTGAAAATAAAGTCTTCCTTCCCTGCCCCTCTCCCTCCTTCCTGCCTTCCTCTTTTTCTTTGACATGGAGTTTTCCTATATAGCTGAACTAGATCATCCTGCCTCAGCCTCCTGAGTGAGTACCGGGATTTTAAGTATGTACCACCAAGCCTGGCAATTTTCTCTTTTGCTGAGTGTGTTTCCTAGATTATATCATATGTTCTAATTTCATTTCGGTTGCTATGATGAAAATATCCTGGCAAAATTCAACTTAATGGAAAGTCCATCATAGCACAGACACCAACATGGCAGGAACTGAAAACCAGCTGGTCATATCACATTCACAGTCAGCAGAAGAGAAGAATAAATGAATGCATACACAATCACGTACTTGCTTGAATGTACTTTGCTCAATTTCTCCTTTTTTTTTTTTTTGGTTTTTCAAGACAGGGTTTCTCTGTGTAGCTTTGCGCCTTTCTTGGAACTCACTCTGTAGACCAGGCTGGCCTTGAACTCACAGAGATCCACCTGGCTCTGCCTCCCAAGTGCTGGGATTAAAGGCGTGTGCCACCACCGCAGGTGCTAACTCAGGTCCTCAGGCTTGTGTACCAACCACTTCGCCAGCTGAGCCATTGCCCCGGCCTCGTTTTTTTATCTGAGATGTAGTCTTCTGTAGTCCAGAGAATCCTCCAACTTGCTGTGGAGTAAAAGATGACCTTAACTTCTTGCTCTTCCTGTGTTAGCTTCCTGAGTGCTGGGATTACAGACATGAGCCACAGTGCCTAGAATTCTACTGAGTTTTTATTCCAGAGCCTACTTTTTAAATGTCTATGCTTTTTAATTAGTTCCTTTTCATTTAAACTTACTCTTGTTTCATTTCTATTTCTCTTTCATAGGTTTGCTCTCTTTTGTTATCTCATTAGAATTCAGTCTAAAGTGTTTGTCATATGTGCCCCCAAGTTACTTCAGTGGAAAGAATCAATACTCTTGTTGACTGTTAGGTTTTTGTGACATTTCCTTGGAATTCCTACATAAAGGCAACTTTGGGGGGGGGGTATTTACCAGTCTGTAGTAGCATATGTTCCAAGACAGCCAGGATTACACAGAGAAAACCTGTCTCTAGAAAACATAGATAGGTAGGTAGATAGGTAGGTAGGTAGGTAGGTAGGTAGGTAGGTAGGTAGGTAGATAGATAGATAGATAGATAGATAGATAGATAGATAGATAGATAGATAGATAGATAATAGGTAGGTTGGTAGGTAGATAAGGTTTTGAGCTGGGGTAATGGTTCGGCAGTTAAGAGAACTTGCTATATTTTTTACAGAGGACCTAGGTTTGTTTCCCAGCATCCATGTGGCTGCTAAAAGCCATCTGTAACTCCAGTTCCAGAGAATCTAATGTCTTCTTGGCTTTCACCAGCACTGCATGTACATGATACACAGATATACATGTAGACAAAACACCCACACACATAAAATAAAAATAAAGAAATCTTTAAAAATAAAATAAAATCATGTCTCCCATAGTTCAGGGTGCCCTGACAATTCATGCACCACTATGTAGCTACAAAGACCTTAATATTCTTGCCTATACTAGTGTTAGGGTCACAGGTGTATGCCAACCATACTTGGTCTATCAGGTGCTGGGAATTGAACTTAGGACTTCATGCATGCTAGGCAAGCATTTCACCAGTTGAGCTAATCCTTAGTTCCTGTAGGCATGGTTTTTATTGTTGTTGTTCTTTGTTTCTTTTTCCCCCCTGTACTCAACCTGGATGTTTTAGTGTTTCCTTGTTTTGGCCAAAGATGCCCTGTCTAAAGTTAGGTTTGTTTGTTTGTTTGTTTGTATCCTCCCTCCCACCCCGCCCCAAGTGTGTGCATTCTTTCTTGTGTGTGAGTGCAGGCGTGTGGAGGTAAGAGGACAGCATTGAGCATCCATCTCTTGGTGTTCATTTCTATATGTCCCGACTAGCTGACCTAAGAGCTTCTGAAATATCTCCTGCTCCACCTCCAATCCCCATAGGAGCCTGGGATTACAGACCTGTGCTACCATGTCCAGCTTTATGTTGGTTCCGAGGCTCCAAACTCCGGTCTTTACATTTGTACAGCAAGAGGTTTACCTAGACTACAAAAGATCCTGTCTTCCTGAGCACACATGGAGTATTATCTAGTTGTGAAAAAGGATGAAGCACTGATATTTCTGATCTATGTATGCTATGACCTACATGAACCCTGAAAACATCACACTATCTAGAAACAGCTGGACACAAAAGGGGGTGCACTGCATGATTCGGAATCTTTTTATACAAACTATCCAGAATAGGCAAATCCATACAGACAGAAAAGAGATTTGGGGGACGAGCGGCTGCAGAAGCAGACAGAGCGGCCGCAGAGGGAGGCTGAGCAGTGATAAAGGCAGACCGAGTGGCGGCAAAGGTAGGCGGAGCTGTGGCAGAGACAGGCTGAGCAGTGGCAGAGACCTGGAAACAACCTAGATGCCCGTCAACTGAAGAATGGATTAAGAAAATGTGGTACATATACACAACGGAGTACTACTCAGCAGAGAAAAACAATGACAGCATGAAATTTGCAGGCAAATGGATGGAACTAGAAAATATCCTGAGTGAGGTAACCCAAACCCAGAAGGACAAACATGGTATGAACTCACTCATAAGTGGATTCTAGATATAAAGCAAAGAACAATCAGACTGCAACCCACAGAACCAGGGAGGCTATATGGCAGGAGGGACCCTAGGATGACTGTGGCTTAGAATAAGTTTTGGTTTTACTCAAAAAAAATAAATAAATAAACAACAAAAAAAGAAAATAGATTTGGGGGTTTGGGGTATGGTGAGAGAAATAGGGGAGTGATTGTTAACTGATGGACATGGAGTTTTCTTGGCAAAGATGAAAATGTTATAAATTGGGGGAAACATTGGGGGATATACTAAAAAATCATTGACCTGTACTTCATCATCATTATTAGTATCATTATTATTGGGTGTCTTTTTTTTTTTTTTGAGACAGGGTTTCTCTGTGTAGCTTTGTACCTTTCCTGGAACTCACTATGTAGCCTAGGCTGGCCTTGAACTCACAGAGATCCACCTGCCTCTGCCTCCCCCGTGCTGGAATCAAAGGACTGGGCCACCACCACCACCTGGTTAGCTTTTTTTTTTTTTTTTTTTTTTTTTGGTTTTTCAAGACAGGGTTTCTCTGTGCAGCTTTGCGCCTTTCCTGGATCTCACTCTGTAGATCCACCTGCCTCTGCCTCCCAAGTGCTGGGATTAAAGGCGTGTGCCACCACCGCCCAGTTTTTTGTTTTTTTTTTAAGAAACTCTTTTTAAAAAGAGAGAGAGTGTGTGTGTGTGAATACAGGTGTCCATGGAGGCCAGAAGAGGGTGTTGGGTTCCCTGAAACTGAAATACAAACAGCTGTATACTGCCAGATGTGGGTGCTGGGAACCGAACTGAGGTGCTCCGTCAGAGCAGCAAGCTCTTGTAACCGCTGAGCCCTCTCTACAGTCCTGCTTTAAGGAATTCTTTACAAGCAATGAAAGAGAAAGACTAATTTATTCAGTTTCTTGAGGGGCCGTCAATGCGGGAAAGCTCTATAACTACTGCCCACTGCCTCCTAATAGCTAGGTCCCGTACTGCTTCTTTCTTAGTGCCCAGATTCTACTCTCAATCATACTTACAACTTTCTCTCCCCATTTAAAACGTCTGTTCCCAGAGGAGCCATCAGTGCCCAACATCCTCTCAACAGAGTCAGGAAAAGTATTCAAACTAAAGTGTAGATAAGGATTCCGAGCCGAATGAGTGCTTAACTGATGGACCTGCAGAGGCTGTTTTCGTGCGAGTGATGGAGCGGCTCACCTTGACTGTGTGAGCCCTCCTAGCACTAGACACTGTCCCAGGAACAGGGTGTGTGTGTGTGTGTGTGTGTGTGTGTGTGTGTGTGTGTGTGTGTGCACGAGCTCAGGCACCAAAACAGGATATTGGATGTCCCCATCTCCTCATCTCCACTTCTTCTTTGAGGAGCCTTGTGGGTGCTGGGATTCAAATTCTGAAGGCCATGATTGTGCATCCAGCACCGTTAACTGCTGAGCCATTTCTTCAGCCCTTCATTATTTTATGATGGTCTTGCACATTTTGAATGTAACACACACAAAAGACATTTCGCTAGCTTTAATGCTCCTATGGACATGATATCAGAAGGTTTCATGGAATTTGCACAATCATTTCTCACTTAGCCCACCTCTGTGTGTAAGACAGCAGAATTTGGCCTTTCCTCTTTCTATCACAGTCTCGTGCTTGGCTGTCTCTCCCCTCTCATGCCTGGTCGTCTCTCCCCTCTCGTACTTGGCTGTCTCTCCCCTCTCGTACTTGGTTGTCTCTCCCCTCTCGTACTTGGTTGTCTCTCCCCTCTCGTACTTGGTTGTCTCTCTCCTCTCCCACTTAGAAATTGCATCTCAGGACTTGACTTTCCAGTGGCAGCAGGGGCTGTTGTTGGCACTGGCCCGAAGCCCGGCCTGGACTTCTGCTGTGGGGTCATACGGACACTTGGATCAGGAGGGTGAGATTGGAAAGTTACATAGTTGAGAAAAGAGACGATCCCTAGAAGAGGGGAAAAATTGAGGAGAGGTTTAACAGACAGATGGTCTTTTACTTTTAAAAATCGTATTCATCATTTCATACTCAGTCTTAAAAGGCCTCTTTTCAGTAAATCCTTCCCTCCCCCGGCTGGGTTAATTTACCCTCCAGTGACTGTGCTGCTTTTGACTACTCCAGTCTGGTTAGAATAAAGCTTGACTCCCCTGGATTTTAACAATGGTGCTATTGTTTTCTGTGTGCCCTTAAGCAAGTTATTTAACCCATCCACACCTCATTTTGTGAGAGAACAAGTTACTAATTCTAGGCTTTTGATTGTCAAATCTATGCTTTCCCCACCACACCACACTGCCTCTCCACATATAAACCTGCCATGCTTCTATTTCTTCTCGATTCTGCCTCCTGTTACAGAAATGATTTCCTGTTCCCTCCTCCTAAGCACAGAGCAGGGGGCTGACTCACCAGCACAGACATGCAGGACGTCACCGCACCAATTCAGATAATAGGCCCACAGGAACACGGACTCCATGGCGCTCGTTGTGTACCATTCAACCTGGGCCAGAAACAGGTTGAGGCAGAGGAGCAAGCAGAAAGCTAGGACCACAAGGAAAGATGTCACAACCTATCAGCATCTTCCATTTGCCTTGGTTGCCACCCCCAGCTCCTCTTTCATTTGCAGGGATCATATCCATGGCAAAGATCAAAAAATGAAAGACTTGGGGATTAGCCAAGATGGGAGAAAGAAGGGGTCCTTCCCCCTTGGTATAAGACAGTTTAAGGCACGTGTTTTGTTTTGTTTTGTTTTGTTTTTTCAGAGCTGAGGACCGAACCCAGGGCCTTGCGCTTGCTAGGCAAGCGCTCTACCAATGAGCTAAATCCCCAACCCTAAGGCATGTTCTATGCAATGAGATAGGGCAAGGAGCTGGCCACTTGGTGTGATGTTGGAAGACCATGAAAGCCCCCAGAAAAGCTTAGTTCCTTAACTGTTTTACCTTGGTGCATTACCTTGCCAGTCAGTACCTGAGCAGAAGCTGAGGATGGACACCTTCAGATCCAACTCAGCTGACACAATTCCTTCTGTAGGGCGGCAAGAGCTGAAGAGCAAGCCAAGGCCAGTAACCATGCAGAGGACAGAGATAATGAACAAGGCCCTGGAATATTCGAGGTAATCTACAAGGAGAGGAAAGGCTTGGTTAGTCCAGTAAGTAATATCCTCGAAGAAAGCTGGAGAGCCAGCCAGGTATAGTGGCACACACCTGCCATCCCAGCACTCAGGACATGGCAACAGGAAGACTAGGGAGTTCCAGGTCAGCCTGGGCTACATAGTGAGTTCCAGGCTAGCCTGGGTTACTTGAGACCCTGTCTCAAATAAGCAAACAAATGAGTATATAATTAAAGTTAGATAAAGTCTCAGAGATGGGAGCCAGACAAAATAAGACGAAATGGAGTTTGCCATGCAGTACCATGGACACTAATAAGATCTTCTTTACTAAGTGGACAAAATAAGATGAAATGGAGTTTGCCATGTGGTACCATGGACACTAATAAGATCTTCTTTACTAAGTTTTCATTGTCAGTTCGAATACCGCCCCATCCCCTTCTGATACAGGGTTTCACTGTGCATCCCAATCTGGCTTTGAATTCTTGATCCTCCCAAGTCTGTGCCAGAATTACAGGTATATGCTACCATTACCTGGTTACATGGATTTTCTTTACTGTGAAGAAAGAGCCTTTATTGGTAAATTAGGGGTAATACATTAATATATCTGTTGTTAGCTTATGAGAGGAGTGATTGCTATCACAAATCAGCTTAAACCTTTTTTGTTTTTAATTCTAGTTCTAAAAGCAATGAATGTTCAATCTAAATATTGCAATGGCCACTAGCAAGCACTCTACCACTGAGCTAAATCCCCAACCCCGATTATTTGAGTTTTATCCAGGTGAGGTGGCATGTACTGGTAATCCCAGAACTTAGGATGTACAAGCAAGAGGATTGCAAGTTCTAGGTTGTCCTCACCTTCATAGTCAGCTGGAGGCCTGAGAAGGCTACATGAGACCCTATCTAAAAAAAATAAAATAAAATAAAAGCAAGCTAAATAAAACAAAGCTGTTTAAAAAAAAAAGATTTGCCTCATAAATTTCACTTTGTTCTCTAAAGCCTGTTCCTTACGCTAAAAAAAAAATCATTTTCATTGATAGAAATCATAAGCCACAGTTAGCCACATTAAAAAAGAAAATAATTTAAAGGCAGCATATATTCTAAAGACTGGGTGACTGAGAATGAGCAGCCCATGTAACCTTGAGACCTATCAGTCCAGATGGTTCTGTATGAAGCCCTGTGACCTAGGTATCTTTTGCAGTACTTAGCTCTCAATACCCCAATCAGTCCTTGTCTGCAGCAGAGAACTTGGCCCAAGCTGGATCGATTTGATTGTTATGCTTGGAAATGTCGATTTCCTCTTTTACGTGTGTGAACTATTGAGCTGTAAGGCTAAGCTTGGATATCACCTTTTGGCACTGACACTCTAATAAACAGGAAAACCTGGACTGTGGAGATAAAACAAAACATAAACAATGATGACTGTCAACTGGACATTAGAGAGCCTGAGTGACTCCATGGCTTGGTTTTCTTTGTCTGGGAGCCCAGTCTTGAATCCCTTCACACCCTCTGCACTTCCTGCCCTTGGCAGTTTATGACATTCTTATCCCCCCCCCCCCCCCCCAGACAGGGATTCTCTGTGTAGCTTTGCGCCTTTCCTGGATCTCGTGCTGTAGACCAGGCTGGCCTCGAACTCACAAAGATCCGCCTGCCTCTGCCTCCCGAGTGCTGGGATTAAAGCGTGCACCACCACCGCCCGGCCAACATTCTTATCTTTAAAAAAGTTCACCTTTAAGCTTACACTAGTTCACATGATTCTGGTATCTGTGTGTGTTTGGGGGGGGGGGGGGCAGCAAGATGGCTCAGTGGGTAAAGGCACTTGATGCCAAGCCTAAGAACCTGAGTTGCCCCGGGCAGCGGTGGCACACGCTTTCAATCCCAGTACTCGGGAGGCAGAGGCAGGTGTATCTCTGTGAGTTCAAGGCCAGCCTGATCTACAGAGCTAGTTCCAGGACAACCAGGGCTACGCAGAGAAGCCCTGTCTCGAATGCCCACCCCCCTCAAAAAAAAAAAAACTGAGTGGGATCCCTGGGACCCACAGGGTGGGAGAAGAAAACCAACTCTGGAAAGTTGTGCTCTGACTTACACAAATGTGCAATGACATATACATACCCATGTATACACAAAAATAAAAAAAATGTGTAACACATATATGTTAACATGCATTCACACACACACACACACACACACACACACACACACACACACACACACACACACACGAGTTAGTGGTATTTGAAACAGGTCTGGCTATGTAACCCAGGCTGGTCTCAAACTCACACTTTTCCTCCCTCCACCTCCAAGGGATGAGATTACAGGCATGTGCTCTCATGCTTAACATACTCTTCTTTTTTTTTTCTGAGACAAGACCACATGATCATTTTCCTTTTCTTTCTTTCTTTTTTTTTTGTTTTGTTTGTTTTTTTGTTTTTTTCGAGACAGGGTTTCTCTGTGTAGCTTTGGAGCCTGTCCTGGATCTCACTTTGTAGACCAGGCTGGACTCGAACTCACAAAGATTCGCCTGGCACTGCCTCCCAAGTGTTGGGATTAAAGGCGTGTGCCACCACCACCCGGCGATCATTTTCTTTTTGAGATAGAGTTTTGTGTAGCCCAGGCTTTCTCAAACTGACTTCTGATCCTCCTGTCTCTATCTTCTGAGTGCTAGGATTATAACCAGATGCCACCACACCTGGCTAATGCTTTTTATAAACCTTGCACATGGTAGGCAAGCACACTGTCTACTTAATCACAACACAGCCCTCTATTTGAGACATGGTCACTCTGTGTAGCCCTGGCTGTCCTGGAACTCACTATGTAGACCAGGCTGGCCTTGAACTCACAGAGACCTTCCTGCCTCTGCTTTCCAAGTGCTGGGATTAAAATGTGCATCACTACTCCTGGCACCCTCCATTTTTATTTTAATTTTTCTTTTTGTGGAACTGGGGACCTGTGATGTCTTCCTGCTGCATCAACTACCAGACATATTCCCAATCTGAGTTTAATATTCAAAGGACAAAGGCATTCTGTCTGAGAGTTCTAAGATACAGACAGAGTGCACATCCTCTGTCCCCATAAGGGGAACGTGTACATCTATTCATCCTGCGATCGTCTCTAGCTTCACCCCTCCATTCTTAAAGAGCCACATGGATCCTTGCAGCTTCTTGTGAGCAAGCAAGGCTTGACCTCAGAGTCTAACCCTCTCAATTAACCAGTTCTACTCACAATAATCTTCTGCCACAAATTACACAGCCCAATGAAACACTTCAGCATTTATAACATCCGTATTTGGTTAACTTCATTGCTTTTGACTTTTAATCCACCTAACAAAACAAACAAACAAACAAACAAACAAACAAACAAACAAAGTAAACCAGAACCAAAGGTCCTAACACTGAATTCAAACCTTCATATCCTATAGAACCAAAACTCTTTCTACTTATCAAGGGATTTACTTTTATTTTATTTTTGTTTTGTTTTGTTTTTCGAGACAGGGTTTCCCTGTAGCTTTGGACCCTGTCCTGGACTAGCTCTGTAGACCAGGCTGGCCTCGAACTCACAGAGATCCACCTGCCTCTGCCTCCCGAGTGCTGGGATTACAGGCGTGCACCACCACCGCCCGGCCTTTTATTTTTTATTTATGTGTAAGTGAGTGTATGCTGCAGGTCAGATCCTCTGGAGCTGGAGTAACTGGCAGCTGGGAGCCATCTGACATAGGTGCTGGAAAGCACAACCCAGGTCCTGCTTTTTCAAGACAGGGTTTCCTTGTGTAGCTTTGTGCCTTTCCTGGAACTCACTTTGTAGCCCAAAGCCTGGCCTCGAACTCACAGAGATCCGCCTGCCTCTGCCTCCCGAGTGCTGGGATTAAAGGCATGTGCCACCACTGCCCCTGATTTCAGCTTTTGAAGGGCAGCAAGCTTAGCTGTCAAAGTGTTGAAACTCTTAGGACCTTTGGTACAAAAGGGCCCACCTGTATAGGTCAATAAGAAGCCTTGATCAAGGCAGGTTCCAGGAAAGGCGCAAAGCTACACAGAGAAACCCTGTCTCAAAAAACAAAACAAAACAAAAAGAAGAAGAAGAAGAAGAAGAAGAAGAAGAAGAAGAAGAAGAAGAAGAAGAAGAAGAAGAAGAAGAAGCCTTGATCTAGAAAGAGGAGTGGTCCACATAAAACGGACACCCAAGTATCAATCGTGTGTGTCACCTGTATCCAAACCTGTCCCAAGCTTACATAATAGCATCTTATAAATGTCAAAAGAATACCACCAGCTTATAATCATTTGGGACAGGAATCAACCTGGGCGAGGAAAGAGGACATATGCCAGGTACCAGTAGAAAGGGCGGTCACATCACAACTGGTCTCAGATCCAAAGATCTTGAAGGAAGAAAGGCAAAAGCGCAATGTGGCAGAAAGCTCTGGAATAGTGGGGCCTGTGGTATTGACTTTTGTGGCACTCACAGGGTGGCTTGGGTATGTGGCTCCAGCACAGCTCATGGTGGCATACGGTCCAGAGTCCCGCGTAGAGCTCAAGGCCATTGTTGGTCACCAGGAACTGCACCCAGCTCAGTGGGGCCGTGATGATGAGCAGCAGGATGCTAAGGCCAGAGAGGCTGCCACAGAACATCCGGGTGTAGGTGAATGCCTGATCCACGTACTGCTGCCGCTTCCGGGCTGACATCAATTGTTTGTTGGTAGGAAGGGTGGGCTGAGGGATGAGGGAAATAGTGCCCGAAAAGCTAGCCCCAGCTACCCAAAGTCTCCTGCCTCTCTCTACCTCAATATCCCCATGTGGGTTTGATTTGTACACCTGTTTCCTTACCTCTTGTTTAAAAGTCAACATTTCTAAGGTGGTCTTTTCTGTCTAGCTCTGTCCTTAAGTCAAGTCCCCGTCTTCCCCTCTGACCTTCTGTCTCCTCACCCTTTGGTATTTCCGGTTCCCTTTTACTTTGGAGACCTCAGGACTGTAGAGGGTCATGGCTTGTTCCTTCCTCCCCATCTTGGCAGCCAGTTTACTTTCTAACTGCCATGGAATTTGTCTCAACGCCTCCTCACACACAGCTAGAAGAATCCTTGGTACAGATCCTGATTCTCTCTCTCTCTCTCTCTCTCTCTCTCTCTCTCTCTCTCTCTCTCTCTCTCATTCTTATCACACCAGGAAGAAATCACCACTGTGTGTGTGTGATGGGGAGAGGGGGGAGGTGTTCCCTACTTCTCCAACTTTATTAAACAATTTACACACATATTCTTGGAAATTGTGTGTCAGTCTTCATGCCAGCTCCTGAAATGTGAAGATAAAGACAGTTCTTTCAGAATAAATTTCAAAAGTGTAACTCCGATTTCAATTGTTTGTGATTATTACTCAAGACTGTGAATGTATCAGTCGCCAGTAGTCTACACAGTTCGTGCATTTGCCAGATCTAAGTGTCTCTATACACTTACAAACCTGCCAGTCAGGGCCCTTCCTACAGCATCCATTTCCTCCCTTTCTCACTCTGCTTCCATTTTTAAAAAAAATTTGATTTAAAATTTTTATTAGTGTGAGTCTGTGTCTGCATATGTGTATGATGGGTGTTTTGTAGAGATCAGAGGAGAGTCCATTCTTTCCTTATACCTTCACATGTGTTCTGGGAATCTAACTTGGGTCACCAGGCTTGTCCAAAGTGCCTTTACTCACTGAACCATCGAGCCGTCCTCTCGTTCCCTCTTTTCAATGTCTTCTGTTCATATAAGGACACTCTACTGCTTACACACTGCCGACGGAGCCCATTATAATGCCAGAAGCCATTGCCCTGGACACCCAAAGTGACCCCTCTTCAAGAGATTGTGGTGGTGCTAGGCTCTACATGAAAGTGAGGGCTTTCCCGGGCCTACCTCGGCCCGCCGATGCCCTAGTGACACTCGTCTCCTTTTTAAACAACTCTCTACATCTGATTCTAACCCCTCACCTCCTAAGAACTCAAAGAGTCAAAGATGCAGGGCAGACAGCATTCTGTTCTTCAGACTGATGGTTGTTTCAAATCTATGCTCTGCTACATCGCTAGCTCTTACTTTGTGCACATATTAACGCTGCTTCCTAAATCTGGTCTGAATCTAGATGCTGACTATAAGTTTCTTCTAGCACACCCTCTTCTCCCCCAATCCCATGACCTGTTGAAGCCTGTTCTGTATTTTGGCTGCTGAGAACCACAAGTTCTATGTACTGGTTCATGTCCATGCTGTAGCATGCAGAATTCCTTGTGTGTGAGTGATGTATTTGTATGTGACATGTACCGACATGTGTGTAACTGTGTGTGCGTATGGAAGCCATAGGTTGACATTAGCTGTCTCCCTCAATCACAAGCACCTTATTTTTTTTCTCTCACTAAACCTGGAGCTTGCCAATACAGCTGGACTGGCTAGTAAGGCCCAGGGAGATTCCTATCCCTACCTCCCCAGCACTTGGGTTACAGATGCATGCCACTGCTCCAGGCTTTGTGTGTGAGTATTGGGTATTGAACTCAGGTCCTTTTTGTTTGTTTGTTTGTTTGAACTCACAGAGATCCACCTGCCCCTGCCTCCTGAGTGCTGGGATCTAAGGCATGCGCCATCACCGCCCAGTGAACTCAGGTCTTCTTGCTTGTAGGACAAACGCTTCTTTTCTCTAAGGTTGTGTTTATTTTTATTGCTAATGATATGTTTACATGTGTTGGAATGTGTATGTCAGCGCAGATGTCCCCAGAGACCAGAGGAGAGTGTCAGATCTCCTGTGAGCTGCCTGGTGTGGGTGCTGGGAACTGAACTCGGCTCTCTGGAAGAGCAGCCTGAGGTGTTGCTTTTCTAACTGAGTTGTCTCCCCAGCTCCTCTGTGTGTGCGTATGGACACACAGGCTGATCTCAAACTCACAGGCCTCCTGAATCTGCCTCTTCAACATTTTCCTAGCAGGAATCAACACAGCCAGTCACAATAGTACGTCTGCCAAAGTACTATTTAACTTTCCAGACCTTAGTTCAATGCCTGGAAACAGAGTGTTTAATGATGAATGGCTAGATGACCACACTTTTAGAGGAATCACAGAGATAGTACTGAGCAAAGAATGGTTAGGACTATCAGAAGAAAGGTAGAGAAACTGTATTTTAAAGGGATTCCTCAGGTAATCAACAAAGGGAACATTTAGGGCAAAGATATATGCCAAGGCAGGAAGTACTAGCAATGTGACTCGACTAGGTATAAGATAAAGGGTACAAGTAGGTAGGGTGGCTCACACCTGTGATTTCAGCTCCGAGGAGTCATAGGAAGAATAATCACCCACGAGTCTGAAGCCAGCCTAGGCTACAGAGTAAGTTCCAGGCCAACCTGGATAAAGAGTTAGATGCTGTCTAAAACTACAAAAAAAAAAAAAAATACATTGCTTACCACAACGAGATGGTTAGGTCCTATTGCTGAAGACACCACATACTTTGGTTGTAGGAAAAATCAATCAGGACCTGACCTTGAAGCTTCTTCCATTCTACTGGCTAGCTTTCCTAGAGCCAGCAAGTACTATGCAGGCTGCTGGGGGAGAGAAGTCATCAACAATCTTACCCGGCATTGGATCCTGGGAAAGATCCTAGGTAATGATTACAAGATCAATGCCCCTTTGCTCTTTTCAAGCTTCCTTGAATACTGTCTTAGAACAGGCCACATTGAGACAGATGAACTGTTTACCCCGGGATCCCTTCACTACTGGCATTACGCAAGCACACCACCAAATAGATGATGTTGATGCCATGTGGGGTATCAAGCCATTTGTGAACAGTGACTAATTTCTCGAAGAATGTAACACTCTAGCCGTTAGAGAGAACAGGTTGGCACCATCCAATCCTCAGGCCTACTCTCAGTACTACCCCAAAGAGCAGAACACTTTGACCAGCTAAGAACTTGCTAGGGTCTGTGATGGGTATAACAAAAGAAGCATGTAATCTGGTGGCTGTGTATGGTGTCATCTAGTATACATTCAAACCATTGTTACTGTTTTGAAAAGCAGTCTTCTTAGAAGAAAATATGGGCCAGGCGGTGGTGGTGCACACCTTAGATCTCAAGCACTCGGGAGGCAGTGACGGGTGAATCTCTGTGAGTTTGAGGCCAGCCTGGTCTACAGAGTGAGTTCCAGGACAGGCTCCAAAGCTACACAGAGAAACCCTGTCTCGAAAAATCAAACAAACAAACAAAAAAACAAAACAAAAAAAACCAGCACATACTTTTAACTGCTGAGTGCTCTCTTCAGCCCTAAAGAATTCTTTATATATCCTAACAGTAAGTCCTTAGCTAATATGAACATTGTAAGTCACCTGTCTACCCTATAGACTGCCTGTTGACTCTGTTGGTGTTATCTGATGAAAAAAAAGTTCTTCATTTGAAGGTAATCCCATTTACAAAATATTTCTTTGCAGCTTATTTTTTAACTGTTTTTTTTAAACATTGGCTTTTTTTTTTTTAAACAGAAGACTAAAGTTCAGTTCCCAGCACCCACATCAGCTTGCTCACAACTGCCGGTAACCACAGCTCCAGGGAATCTGACACTCTCTTCTGGACTCCACAGATGCCTGCACACACATGCACATACACACAGAGACACAAATAAATAAATCAGTCTTTAAGAAAAAAAAGATTTCTTTTACCAGGCATGGTGGCACATGTCTTTAATATCAGCACTAAGGAGCAGAAGCAGGCAGATCTATGAGTTCAAAGTCAGCCTGATCTATATGTTAAGTTCGAGACCAGCCAAGGAAACATAGTAAGACTGAGCTGGTAAGATCGTTTAAGGACCTGAGTTTGAATCTCAGCACTCACATACAAAAAGCCAGGGGTGGTGGCATCAGCTTATAATCCCAGCACTGGGGAAGCAAAACCAAGAAGATCCCCGGGGCTCACTGGGCTACCAACCCAGCCTACTATACAAGCTGTAAGACAAAGTGAGACCCTGACTCCAAAAATACTGTCCAGTGCCAACAGAAAACCTGCAGATGACTCCTGACCTCCAGGTGCATGTGCGTACACACGCATGCACGCCTGCACACAGGGGAACACAGAAGAATTTATGGCTAGGCTTCAGATAATTTCAATGAGATTTCCTGTGCTGGGGCTTGGGTCCTAAAGTTAGAAATAAGGTTATTCTGGTAAAAAAGCTGTTGGTTCCTGTATGGTTTGCAGTGGTAAGATGAGGCTCTTACTTTCTACTCACAATGTTGTGATGATCGAATTTAAAAAATGTATATGGATTCTGTAATACAGACGTGATGCCTGGCAGTGGTGGCACACACCTTTAATCCCAGCACTCGAGAGGCTGAGGCAGGTGGATCTCTTGAGTTTGAAGCCTGCTTGGTCTACAGAGGAGCTAAGGCCACACAAAGAAACCCAGTCTTGAAAACAAACAAGCAAACAAACAAACCAACCAAAAGAACTGACAATTGACTCCCCTCTCCATATCTCCTTTTAAGGGATCTGTTCTCATTAGCACCTACTCAAGGGTGGAGTTGTGTGTCTCTTTGTTTGAGACTGGGTATCATATGGTCCTGACTGGCCTTAAACATGCTACATAGCCAAGGATGAACTTAAACTTCTTTTTTCAAATTTATGTGTAGGTCTGTATAAGTGAATATCACATTTGTGCAGGTGTCTGCAGAGGCCAGAAAAGGGTGTTGGCTCACCTGGAACTGGGGTTTCAGGCAGCTTACAACTGCCTGATGTGGGTGCAGGGAACCGAACTTCTGTCCTCTGGAAAAGCAGCAAGTGCTCTCAATCACTAAGCTGCCTCTCTAGCCACTGACTGTGAATTTCTGATCCTTGTTCCTCTACTTCTCAAACACCGGGATTATAGTCATGTGCTACCAGGTCGTTTATGGAGTGCTGAGGATCAAACTCAGGGCTGTACATTCTAGGCAAATACTCTGCCAACTGAGTCACATCCCCATCTCTGCTTTTGTTTAAGACAGGGCCAGGCTGGCTTCTAATTCCCGGTCCTATCTGCTCTGCCTCTCAACTTCCAGGATTTCAGGCATATACCACCACACCTAGTAAGATCTGACAAGGATATCAAGTACTTGGAGCTAGCAGGGTATAGAACTTGTATATCAGGTATGAGACCCTAGGTTCAACCCTTAGAACTGAAAACTGGATCAAGTATTTAACTTTTGTGTATGTGTATATAAGTATGGTGTGTCTCTGCGTGTTTTATGTGTGTACATGTATATGTGAAGTGCATATGCACACATGTGTTCAGGCAAAGGCCAGAGAAGGACATCAGAGGGCATGGAGGTCTT